AGTTTGGACATTCCTCAAAAAACTAGATATAGAGCTACCATATGATCCAGCAATCCCACTCCTAGGTATAGATCCAAAAGAAAGGAAATCAGGATATCAAGTAGATATCTTCACTCCCATGTTTATGGCAACACAATTCACAATTGCCAAAATTTGGAAGCAACCTGCATCTATCAACAGACAAATGGATAAAGAAAATGTGATACAGGCTGGGTGCAGTGGCACACACCTGTAATCCCAGCCCTTTTGGAGGCCAAGGCAGGTGGATCACTTGAGATCAGGAGTTCGAGATCAGCCTGGCCAAAATGTTGAAATCCTATCTTTACTAAAAATACAAAAATTAGCCTGGTATGGTGGCCCATGCCTGTAATCCCAGTTACTCGGGAGGCTGAGGTGGGAGGATTGCTTGAACCCGGAAGGCAGAGGCTGCAGTGAGCCAAGATTGTACCACTATACTACAGCCTGGGTGATGGAGCAAGACCCTGTTTCAGAACAAAAAAAAATAAAAGAAAATGTGATACACATACACAGTGGATGCTCTGCAGGTACTTGAACCATCTCATAACTTTATTTTCTCCAAAGGTGAGAGGAAAGTCTTTGTTCATAAAGTTTCTTTCTAGGTGTCCACAGAAAGGCTGCCAAATGAGAAACAGAAAGTAAAAGCCTGAAGGGAAAGGATATATTAATACCCAGCACAACTATCCACATATGCCTGTGTTATTCACCCTCTCAAGAAAGGAAGATCACAGGCCTAAACAGAGCCATGGCTCAGAGACTACTCAGAGCATAGTGTTGTCCTAGGAAATATTCTATGTGTTCAGTGTGTGTTCATTTCCTTTCTGGAAAATCCTTTATATTTATCAAAACTATTGCTCTTGACTGAATATTGGAGAGCAAAAATCAAAAGATGCCTTAATACCCTCACAGGTGGGCCCCATGCTCTTGTAAGTCCTGTGCTATTTGAAGCAGTAATAGGAAGAACCCTCGTACACTATCTTCCCACTACAATTTTTATACCTTTAGAAAGTGTCAAAAAAACTGTTAGAAATAGCAGCCATGTTACATCTTGGAAAATATCTTTAAGTTCTCCAGAAAACACCTCTCTGAGCTAGGCAATGTGTGTTTCTGTGGTTGTCAGAAATAAGCCCAAACATGGATTCTGATGCTTAGGAAGAAGAATGTCGTAGAAACATAACAGATTTGCAAAGTTTATCTTGTAGCATGATTTATACTTCCTCACAAGCATGCTTCCTCTCACCTTGACCTAGCCTCTCAGAATGTGGGGATGATAAAGGAATACCTTGTCAGCAAAGGCTTTCTACGTCAATGGCAAGAGAAAAGGAAGAATGGGAAGCCCAGGAAAGCACAAAGCGGTAGAGCGCTTCCTCCTGGCTGCCAGGATTGTGTCCTCAGAGGTCAGAAACATCCTTAATCTCAAGTGCCAACAGCTGGGAGTCCCTGGAGCCTGAGCTGCATTTCCTCTGAGAAGGAAGCATTAATGGTCCAAGAGATAACAAGAGCAGGGAAGAGAATTCCAGGCAGAAAGAGCAGCCAGCACAAAGGCCTTGAGAAGACCTATTAGCATATTTGAGTCTTAAAATCTGTGAAGAAATAAATGTTAGCTATTATCACCATCTGTCCAAAATTATCACAGGCATCAATTAGGCAGGGGCACCATTGCCCTGTGCAACCTGCTCACACGAGTGTATCCTAGGGAAAGACATTGGACTGGGTGCACTTGGTAGGAGAACATTGTGCTAGGTTTATGCCCTGGTCTCCAGTGGGATACCAGAGGATGGGCCGAGGATGTATCAGGCTTCATGAAAGCAAAGGAAGCCCCAGGCAATTCCCACGTATTGCCAAGACCCTCATTACTGGAGGTGTTGTCAGGATAAGGGAGAGAAAGTCTCTGCAAGGTTCATTACAGTGAAAAAAAAAAAGAGAGAGAGAGAGAGAAACACAGCATTAATTTTGTAGGAAAAAATGTGAATTGCTATAAAGACTTATTTCCAGTTCCATGATAAAAATACTTTAGTTTATAATTGTAGGTTAGATCAAGCCAGGCAAAATTGTACTCTTAGAAGCTTGTCACCTTGGAAGTCTAGTCTTTTCCTTCTCACTCCTACCCTCTATGAACTTTCTGCCTCACCCAGTGAGATTCCCAGCACCTTCCTCGTTTTTCACTAACTCTCCCAATCACATCTAGAAAGGTTATGCTATTAGTCATTTATTTGTGGCTTAATTTGTTTTAATTAACACCATTATACCGTATACAAAACTTATTCTTGCTAATGTGTGAGTTCCGCTAGGCATTTTCATTTTTAAGCTTTTGATCTCTAATTAGGGAATAGGAGGATTTTCCTCTCCAGGAAGTTTATGATATTGTCAGGCAAGATGCAGGCATTTGAGAGGAGCAGAGAAGGCTCCTAAAATCACCTTAGTCCCAACCTGCCGGCTTTGTGGGACTTTTGGATCCTCAAGGAGGACCACTGAATGTTCCCTTCTCCCTCTGCTGTCGTAAATCAGTCTAATCCTAATAGTAGTTTCTGGAGACAGAGGAGGGCCCTGGCTTCACTCAAGGCCTGGGGGCCTGTTTCTTGGGCCCTAGATGTTCGTGCACATGGGACACGCCCTCCAACTTCACACCCACACATTCCCACGATTATTCCGTCCGTATTTGGCATCCTATGATGTGCTTGTCTCTGCTTCATTATATCAGCCTCTGACATAATAGTCATGGTTCTAACATAGGCATGTATATTAGACTGGATCATCTTTAAAAGAAATACCTAAAGATGAACCAGTCCATGGCTTTTTTGCAGTGCCGTAATGAAAGAGACAGACAGGGATTCAAACCCACCTCTGACACTTACTAGCTAAGTAGCTTTGGGCAAGTCATAATTTGACTGTGTCTCCTACTCTGCAAAATAAAAAACCAAACTAGTCAGGTTGCTATAGAAATAAGAGGAGATCCTACATCAAAAGCTGCAATCACAGCACCAGATGCAGAGAGAGCATTCCTCCACGTTAGCCAGGAATGTTCGTTATGATTGTTGTGTGCCAGGCATGGTTTAAGGCTCTGGATATACATGAGCGAACCACAGATGTGGCATGCAGTCTCCTGGAGCACTCACCTCCATGCAGGAGGCATATATTAACCAAATAAACACCAATAGGAATATAACTACAAATGAGAGTACATGCTCTGAAGGAAAAATGTTACTTGCTATGAGAGAAACTAACAAGGGAGCAGTTTTTGATTTTTGGTCCAAGAAGGGCTGCCTGGGAGTGTTACTGAAGGTGAGACACCCAAGTGGGAGGCAGCAAGTGATGAGTTTGGGGAGCAGCACCCCAACAGAGGGAAGAGCAGGGGCAGAGGCTCCGAGGAAGGAAAGGACATGGTGGGCATGAAGAATAGGCCATTCTCAAAGAAATGCAGCAAGCCACAGTGAGAGTGAGGAGGCGAGGTTGGAGAACAGCCAAGGACCAGATCCCAAGGGCCTCGTCACCCAGATGCACAGAATTTCAAAGGTGAAAGTTGATACACAGTTGTCATAATAGCTGCTTAGCAGGAGCTTTATAAAACTCTTTGCTTTAATTGTTAAATGCCCTGAAGAAATCAGGGGAGATTTATTATTGAGACAAGACCGTTTGATTTTGCCTGAAGAGCATTCCTGGTGACCTTCCACGATGCTATTTTTAGACAGTGGTAGAAACAGTGCACAGCTTTTCACCAGGGTGTTAACATGGGATTGCTGGAAGAGGGAAGGAGTGGGAGGCAGCTCCAGAGCAGGCATCCCAGACTCAGGATTTTTGCAGTCATCATGGTCCACCCCTTTCAACAGCTGGTAGATGAATGATCAGTAACTGCAGCACTGGGCACCTTCGGAGCAGAGCTCTTGCTGCCTTGCTTGTGTAAAAAGGAGGCGCAGTCCCGCCCGAGTCTGATCCTCTTCTCCCCATTGTGCCCACAGGTATGCCATTCTGACCAAAGCCACCTGGCCCTCTTGGCAAGGAGACGAGAAGCAAGGCGTCCTGCATCTGCTGCAGTCAGTCAACATGGACAGCGACCAGTTCCAGCTGGGGAGGAGTAAAGTGTTCATCAAAGCCCCCGAGTCTGTGAGTGCTTGGCTGCCTCTCTACTCTCTTCCCTCCCGCAGGGCCCCACCAGCCCTGCCCCACGCCTCAACTGGCTTCTTTTTCTCATTCTTTGCTTCATGCCACCAATGTTGTCTCCTCAAAGAAGCCTTCCCTTCCTCCCCAGTCTACGTGGGTCCTTCGCTAGACACCTGCTCTCCATAGCCCATCACTGCCCCATTCATTTCCTGCAGAGCAGTGAGCAGGTAGGAAAAGGGACATCGGAGAGTGGCTGCTTCCTCACTCACTGTCTCGCTCCTCTCTAGCTGCAACACTCCTTCAGGGCAGGGACTCTTTGTTCCATGTGTCTTTATATGCCCCAAAGCATCACATAGAAAATGCTCAATAGAGCCAGGCGTCGTGGCTCACACCTATAATTCCAGCACTTTGGGAGGCCAAGGCAGGCAGACCACCTGAGGTTGGGAGTTCAAGACCAAGCTGACCAACATGGTGAGACCTCGTCTGTATTAAAAGTAGAAAAGAAAATGCTCAGTAGTTACTTAGTCTCTAAGAGTGTCTAAGCTAAAGAGGGACTTCTGTGTCCCACCCAAGGTTAGTTGACACCAAGTCCGTTACACACAGGCTCAGGGTTCCTCCCGGAAGGTGCAGCAGAGTGCCACGTGGGGATTCCCAGGATTGTTCCTAGAAGGCCGCTGGGGGGCCTAGAAAGGACTGTGAGGGAGAAACAGGTGGAGGAGAAATCTCTGGTTTATAGCACACAATGCTTAACAGTAAGGCATTCATCATACACATTTACAGGTCACAAACTGATCCGACCTCTACAGTGTCTCTAAGACACTTCTTTCTTTCCTGATGAGGGTGTGGTCAGTGCACCCCATGAATGTCCACAGGAAGTTCTGTCCAGCTCTTCTGCCCAGTTCGTTCCAGGGCTGTGGAATAAAGACCTTTACTCCTTTTTAAGCCGGAGACACTGTCGGCCCCAAGGCTCAGCAGCCTCATTTCTCGAGGTTCCCGTAACCATCACAAGATCCCATTTCAAGAGTCAGTGATGAACTTGGCAGAAGTCAGTCATCAGACCAAGGGGAAATCACACGGGAACTCACAGTAAAAAGGGAAGCATTTGACTCCGGGCAGAGCCCAGTCCTGCAGTTAGTTTTCTTCTCTAAGGAGAACAGCCACTGTTCTCCCTGCCTCAGAGGATCAGCCCAAGGTTCAGGAATGACAGTGGCCATAACTGAATGGCTTTGTGAAACATCAAGATTATTAAATAAATAAGCGACACACAGGGATGGAACCTATTTCTGAAACATTTGTGGTAGCATTTTTCCACTTTGAGTTATTTGTAGCATCACAAGAATTTCATTTCCAAATATAAAGTGAAAATGTTGTGTCATTCGCCATTAAGCAACCCACAGAACAGTTCCTGTTCTTTCTAAAATGGGATGGGGTGATTTATCGGCACGATGCAGAACTTGTCTCATACCCACTTTTACTTTTCAACTTGCGAGATTTTCGTACATAATTAAAACAGCCTCAATATTTGGAAAACTTTTTTTTCTGATTCAGTGGCGTTGGAGGGGTTTATATTTCAAAATCGAGATTTATTTTTGGCTGTCCTTTTCCTTGCCTTACACTCAGTTGTGTTGTTACCGTTACTTGACTCTCCTTCCCCCATCTTTGACACATGCACTCACACATGCACACCCTTACCTCTGCACTCTCCCCTGCCCCAAACACATCCATCCACATCTAGCCCTGACATGCAAATACTTTCATAAAAGTTGGTTTTTAAAATCTGGCTGGGCACAGTGGCTCATGCCTGTAATCTCAACACTTTGGAGGCTGAGATGCGAGGATGATGACTTAAGGCCAGGAGTTCAAGACTGGGCAACTCAGCAAGACCCCATCTCTACAAAAAAAATTAGCTGGGTGTGGAGGCTGAGGTGGGAGGATTGCTTGAGCCCAGGAGTTGAAGGTTACAGTGAGCTGTGATTGTACCACTGCAGTCCAGCCTGGGCAACAGATCAAGAAAGACCCTTTCTCTTAAAAAAGAAGAAAGACAGAAAAGAAAAACTACCGTGTGGTTTTACCTTAATAGTAAATGTGCCGAATATACAAAATTATCCGTTTGCTTTAAGAACCCACATCAGACACCACAGGGTTTGTTTTTGTTTTGTGTTACATGTATCCGTGTTTTTTGGCTTTTCTATGTCAAGGTTGTTTTGTGGTTTTTTGTTGTTGTTGTTGTTTGGTATGCTTTTTACTCTCTCCTCATCTATGTTATCAAGGTTTTTTCTTGAACCTCCCTAATTTCTAACCCCCTGGGATTTTCGAAAGAAATCTGAAACCCAATGAATCTTGGAGATAGTCTCTAGGAAGTTGGGAATTGTTTGCCTCTTCTTCCTTTCTCTGAGTCACAAGTGTGTTCTCTGTGATACTCCCAAAATAGTTCTGGGAAAGAAGAAGGAAACAAGACTTACTCAGAAACCCAACACACCAGATAAGAAACATCAATAGATATTCTTACAACAGGCAACTGCAGGGCTCAGATTTTAAACGTTCTGTCCAGTTGCTAATCCATGTATTCTATCTGGGGGTTAGAAATCTGTCCTTATGCCTGTTATATATGGCACTGAGGCCTGGGGAATGATGCGGCCCCTCCCCTGGTGTTTGGAGTTTGGGATGTTGTTTCTGCAGAGGTGGAACTGTGAGAATGAGAGAAGCTGAGGGGCAGGGGAGCACAGGTCTGGCTCCCAAGCATACACCCACAGAAACAGAGACAGCAAATCAAACCCAGCTGCCTTCACAGCACTTCGGCTTGTTTACTTCTGGAACATTTTTGCAATGACTATTCATCATCTTTACTTTGGTTTTTTATTGGTTGATTTTATTTTTTTCCTAGAGAGTCATGTAAGCCACTCTCAAGGTAGATGAGTTTCCTACCATTTTACAAGTTGATCAAATGCGGATTTACAGACAGAGATTTGCATGTCAAAATGAGGAGGAGCCTGGCAGAGCCTGAAAGACCTAGGTGTACTTTCTAGCCCACCCAGTCTTAGTTCCAATGTTCTCATCTGTAAAATGGAGATGATAGAGTACGCGGCTCACGCAGCTGTGGAGGTGTTGAATGAAACTGCATGGAAATCACCCAGGGTGACTTCTGCCCCACAGTGGGTACTCGGCTCACGACAGCTTTTTGCTGTCACCTTCATTATTCCAAAGCCTGGTTGCGGTGCAGCCATCAGCATTCATTGTTCAAATGGCCGGACTCTCATGACCTGCCAGAGGCTGATGTGGCCCCTGAACAGCCCCAGCCCTTCTCAGCAAATCCAAGTCCTAACTAGCGCACTTCAAGTCCAGCACCAATCATTGTGGTTATTATCCTCTGCTCCGCTACTCCTTAGTGAGTCCTGAGACAGGAAGTCTGTACTTTCTTGGAACTGAAAGTAGGGCAGCCCTCCTTCCACAGCAGCACAAGCCCTGCTCTTGCAGAAACTGGAAAATTCTGTTTAACGGCTGCATGCTGAATTGCTGCACCAAACAGCAGCAGCCGCCTCCACCCACTCGCTTGGTCTGGCTTCCTAATAGTATCCTCTTTGGATCAAGGTGGGGAATAAGTGGACAGGTGTTGAATCACTCATTTGATTCTCACAGAGACTGTAGCAAGGCAGGGCAAGGTCCAACTGAATACACTGGGATTCTGCTCTTTCCCGTTGTTTGCCATTAAAAGAAAAAAGGTATAGGTCATTCTATATTGAGAATAAACAACATGCCACACTAAGCATTACACGTGCTTGTTCTTGAGTCAGAGAAGCTGCTTCCCGTGCGTGTCATTGTCTAAACTGAGTGTCCCTGGAATAACAAGAAAAGTGTTGTTCAGGTGTTGGGGTTTCAGGCTTGGCTCACATTTGTCTTCTCTCCATTCACAGCTATTTCTTTTAGAAGAGATGAGAGAGAGAAAGTATGATGGATACGCTCGAGTGATACAGAAATCATGGAGGAAATTCATAGCCCGCAAGAAATACGTTCAAATGAGAGAAGAAGGTATTTTAGCAATTTTGTCTCATTCATTTTAACAAATCTGAAGCGTAAGTTTGAACTTAAGTTCTAAGTTCCATTTTATTTTGCGTATAATGTCACTCTAAAATTCTGGTATCATTTAGAGTTTCTTTGTATATTTCCACACTATTTTTCTCCTTTTTCTTACTGACATGTCCTTCTTCCATCTTTACGCTCTTGGGAATTGTAGCCTCAGACCTCTTACTGAACAAGAAGGAGAGAAGGAGAAACAGTATTAACAGGAACTTTATCGGGGATTATATTGGGATGGAGGAGCACCCAGAACTCCAGCAGTTCGTGGGCAAGAGGGAGAAGATTGATTTTGCAGACACAGTCACCAAGTACGACAGGAGGTTCAAGGTACGTGCTGACTGCCCGCCCTGAGATCACCAGATTCTTTTTTTTTTTTTTTTTTAATAACTTGCTATTTTGCTTTTGTTGTTACCAAAGCAGAACATGTTCATTGTAGAAAAATTTAGGAAAAAATACAGATAAACCAAAAGAAAAACAGGCACCTATGCCCAGAAACAGTCACTGTTAACATTCTGTGCTTATCCGTAACTTTCACAACGTTTTTATGAAAACGTACATTTGCATTTAGTTTTACAAAAACTCCCATTTAGTTTTCCAAAAATGAGATATATGTTGCATGCTGTTTTATGTCCCGAGGCATTTTGTTTGTTTGTTTTTTAAATAATGCCAGGGAGAATTTTCCATAGTAGTACATTTAGCAGTGTAAATTATTTTACATGGCTGCATAGTATTCCATTTGACAGTTGTTTTACTATTTTTAACCAATTTCTCATGAACCAATTTTTAGTGAGTTTCTTTCTCTTTGTTACTATCATAACTTCAGTGAGCATCTTTTCACACATCTTTGTGTATTTGTCTCCTAATATTTTTGGAAGAAATTGACAGGAGTGAAATTGAATCAAAAGATTCAGAATATCAAGTAATATTGCAGAGTATCCTCACCCATTTTCCCGGAATGACTGATAAGTAAGGCTTTTCTAACCACAGGAGGAATGATTGATTTTTCACCTCCTCCCTTAGATAACTTTTAACGAAGTCTTGGCCCTAATAGAGAAATCTGAAACTTTAGAAGCTCATGGACCCATTAAGAGCTTTCTGGTTTCTGGCGGGGGCCGGGAGATGAGGAGAAAAACTGAGTGAAGTAAACAATGGGAGCGTGCTGTTTTGCTGAAACCAAACCATTCCTTGCAACCTGTGCATGGTGCCAGCTGCTGTGATGACAGCTCTAGATGCACACGTGGGTGCCTAGCTCTCACAGCAGCATGTGTTATAAAGTGGTTACCCACATATTCCCAAGGAGATTTATCTTCATTTATCCAAATGAAAATATAGCAGTATCTTAAAAAGAAAATTTTATAGACTCCCAGGCTGGGTGCGGTGGCTCACGCCTGTAATCCCAGCACTTTGTGAGGCCGAGGTGGGCAGATCACGAGGTCAAGAGTTTGAGACCGGTCCGACCAACATGGAGAAACCCCGTCTATACTAAAAATACAAAATTAGCTGGGCATGGTGGCACATCCTTATAATCCCAGCTACTTGGGAGGCTGAGGCAGTAGAATTGCTTGAACCCAGGAGGTGAAGGTTGCAGTGAGCTGAGATCACATCACTGCACTCCAGCCTGGGCAACAGGGCGAGAATCTATCTCAAAAAAAAAAAAACGGAATATCTATGGAGTCCCAAAAAAATATATGCAGACCCTGCCCCCTGTTGAGAAACATGCTTTAGCACATGATGGATAAGCTCACCACAGGTGTTGACTTTCCCTTTATACCTGCTCTGCTGTCCTGATACATCAGGTGACTCCATATGAGTTTGCCAATTTTTAAGTCAAAAAGAGTCAGATGTCAGCATTTTTATATATGTTATCCTAATAATCAGAAACAATGCCCTTTTTCACTGTCATGGCGCCTGGTCAGGTGATGAATGGAACGGCTATCACAATGGTAGTGAAGATTGACTGTCCAAAGCAGCTTCCCACTGTCCTGGTAACGGCAGTCCAGACGTGAATGGTTGTCATCACATTGACCACCATGTCTGTCCACCTTTTTTTGTTTTTTTTTTTTTTTTGTTCCTTTTTTTTTTTTTTTTTTTTTTTTTTTTTTTTTTGAGATGGAGTCTTAGTCTGTTGCCCAGCGGCATGACCTTGGCTCACCGCAACCTCCACCTCCCAGGTTCAAGTGATTCTCCTGCTTCAGCCTCCCAAATAGCTAGGATTACAGGTGCCCATCACCATGCCCAGCTAATTTTTGCATTTTCAGTAGAGATGGGATTTCACCATGTTGGTCAGGCTGATCTCGAACTCCTGACCTCAGGTGATCCACCTGCCTTGGCCTCCCAAAGTGCTGGGATTACAGGTGTGAACCACCATGCCTGGCCTGTCCACATTCTTAAAGCTCCTCTCCTTACAGGGTGTAAAGCGAGACCTGCTTCTTACCCCAAAGTGCTTGTACTTAATCGGACGAGAAAAAGTCAAACAGGGCCCAGACAAGGGCCTGGTGAAAGAAGTCCTGAAGCGGAAAATCGAGATGGAACGGATCTTGTCTGTGTCCCTCAGGTGAGCGGTGCAGGTATAGAGGCAGGCATGCCCATCTCGCCTCAGCGTCACCGTCTGCTATTCCAGACAACCAGGAGGAAGGCCGGGCTGGGCTCTGCTGCTGTCAAAATCATGACGAAGAGAATGGAATTTCCCTTTTTTCCAAAGGGAAGACTTCCTAGTCTCAGGGAATGTTGATATGACAGGAAGAAGGTACCAAGAAAAAGTTGCCTGTGGACAGCTCCTCTAATCAAGGGAGACCCAGATCTGTTGTAACCGTAACATGTTAGAAATGAACTTGGTATATGGAACACCTCAGAGGATGATTTCTCGTTATAATGGAGCCAATAGTTTAGAGCCCTCTCCCCCAGCCCACCTCACCCAGTTTGGAAGCCTCGCCTATTTCCCCACGCGGAGGGTCCTAGAAGGGAAGTTTCTTTGAAACTTCCTTAGAGAGTGCAAGTTGGTCTCCATTCTCTATAGCTCTGGAGTCATGAGATGCTGTCTTCACTCCAAGTTCTCAGGCAGTGGGGAGTGGTGTTTCCTTCTGCAAGGCCTCAGGCAGGGCCCTTGCTCTTCAGGCAGCACCCTGGCTTCCTTTTGGCAGAGGGGCTCCTCTGTCAGTTGTCAGAGTATTTCCTCTGTCAGTGGAACCTAGCCTAGGACCTAGTCTAGTCCGATGCTAAGAAGTCCTCTCATGCCCAGAACTCCTAGACTAGGAGTCCTCCCAAAGTCCTCCCATGCTCAGAACTCCTAGACTAGGAGTCCTCCCAAAGTCCCCTCCTATGCTCAGAACTCCTAGACTAGGAATCCTCCCAAAGTCCTCCCATGCTAAGAATTTCTAGACTAGGTTCCACTGATAGAGGAAGTCCTCACAATCCGTGAACACTAAGAATGGAAGAAAGACCTCCTTGAGCCCCGTAGCTTCCTCCAAGAATTGTGTCCCTGGGCCTCTGAGGCTAACACTCTTTAGTCAGGAAAAGCTTTGGGCCTTTGCATTAAAGCAGAGATGCTGAGCTCTCACGTGAACATGGAACTGGGACACCTCTCAAGCTCCTACTCCACACGGAAGACAAAACTGCTGTGCTCAGGGGAAAGCAGGGGTTTTATGCACTCAGGCATCTGACCTACCAAGCTGGAAATCCTAGCTCCAGTCTGATAATCCAAAGCAGATTTCCAGCTGAGTCCATTCTTGCCTGTGTCTCTGTGGTTTCTGATTCTATCTGTTCCTAATTTCCCTGGATAAAGGGCCAGGCGGTGCAGTGAAGTTAAGTGTTTAAAACATGCCAACTCAGGATGTGGTAAAGTTGCTAATCACGTGAGTCCACAGTGTCCCCTTTGCAACCCCACCCTCAGGCAGGTCTCAAGGCCACTGGTTTTTTGGGTTTGGTTTGGTTTGGTTTTGGTTATTTTGACATGGAGTTTCACTCTTGTTGCCCAAGCTGGAGTGCAATGGTGTGATCTCTGCTCGCTGCAACCTGTACCTGCTGGGTTCAAGCCATTCTCCTGCCTCAGCCTCCGTAGGAGCTGGGATTACAGACATGCGCCACCATGCCAGGCTAATTTTTTGTATGTTCAGTAGAAATGGGGTTTCACCATGTTAACCAGGCTGGTTTCAAGCTCCTGACCTCAGGTGATCCTCCCGCCTTGGTCTCCCAGAGTGCTGGGATTACTGGCGTGAGCCACTGCACCCAGCCCATTGGTTTGTTTTTTAATTTTTTTGAGAAACAGGGTTTCACCATCTTGGCCAGGCTGGTCTTGAACTTCTGACCTAGTGATCCACCTGCCTCGGCCTCCCAAAGTGCTGGGATTACAGGCATGAGCCACCGCACCCGGCCCCCATTGGATTTGTTTTTGTTTTTAAAAAAGCTCTAGGTATTGACTGGTTTTCGGATGGTCTTCCTGAACATTGAGCCCACTGGCTGGGTCCCAACCTGAGCGGGGAAGTGCCTGCTGGCCACACTCTTCCTGGCTAGCCAGGTCCTGAGGCTGCCCTGGGAACCCAACAGGAAGATCCTTCTTTGTCACTGCATGGGGAACTGCCATGGCTGGACTAAGCCAGGTTGGCCAAAACGTGCTTGGCAGGCACTGTAGGTGAAAGTCAGGAATTCACAGCCCTAGGGCATGTGTAGTCGCCGTGCTGAGAGTGACTATCGCTCTTTCTGTTATTGCCCAGGTCTGTTTCAGTTCCTCAGACCCCTAGTGGAGTGCTCATGACTGGGACCATAAGTCATCCTAATTGAGCTACATTTGTGTGGGATTTTTGTTTTGTTTTTTGAGACAGTCTTGCTCTGTTGCCCAGGCTGGAGTGCAGTGGTGCAGTCTCGGCTCACTGCAACCGCCGCCTCCCGGGTTCAAGTGATTCTCCTGCCTCAGACTCCTAAGTAGCTGGTATTACAAGTGTGTGCCACCATACCTGCCTAATTTTTATATTTTTAGTAGAGACAGGGTTTTGCCATGTTGGCCAGACTGGTGTCGAACTCCTGACCTCAAGCAATCCACCTGGTTCAGCCTCCCCAAGTGCTGTGATGACAGCATCAGCCCCCGCACCCAGCCTTGAGTTACACTTGTATCAAGCACTTTGCCGCTTACTGTCTCACTGATAATTCCTTGAGGGGGTTCGAACAGGGGCTTAGGGAACTGTTCACACTCAGATTTCTTCCTTTTATTGTTTTTTGTTTGTTTTTTGTTTTCTTTCACAGCCTCTGGAGATATAATGTCTCCTGGTAACACTAGCTTCTTTTTCTTCTTCCTCTTTGGTATTCATCACCTGGATGGTTGCTTTCTTGCGGCTTTTCCTTTTTAAAGGATATAAAATGAGGTACTTAGCCTAAAAGTTTCTCTGAGTCTAAGGGAAAAATAAGTGTGAGTCATTTGAACTTGTGATGTCTGTGTATTGCAGTCACTGAACCTCACACTTGCCAACATGAATAATAGTGTTCCCTCATTTCTTTATACTTGAGTTAGGCCAGTAATCAGGACCAAGTTAGGAAAGCAACCAGAGGGTGATATGTTTGCAGAGTCGAACCCAGAGTGGAAATTAATTCTGGGACCAGACTACTGAACGTGTATGTGTGTTCTCAAAATACTTCAGTACTGGCACAGAGAAAGATTTTAACAGTTGTCTCGTACTTCGGGAAGAAAGCCGCAACATCTGTATGTGTTTTTAAGATGTAGTAAATGAGGTACTTAGCCTAAAAGTTTCTGAGATTGACCAGTTGACTATTGGCTGGAATGACAGCACCATATGGCCTCCTAGTTAACGATTTATCAAGTATCCCATAAGCTTGGTCTTAACCCATCTCTAACTCATAACTAATGGCAATGCACAGTGGGCCTCAGCTCCCTATTCAAACCGTCCATTTAGTAACAATTATGAGACAAGAAGGGAAATGTGAGCATGACTAAATATTTGGTGTGAAGAATTTATTGTTTACTTCTGTAGGTGAGATAATGGTTTTGTGATTAATTTTATATACAGAGTTTATCATATAATGATATATACTGAGACATTTGAGGATAAAATAAAGGCTCAGCACAGTAGCCCATGCCTGTAATCCCAGCACTTCGGGAGACCAAGGCAGGAGGATCACTTGATCCCAGGATGTTTGGGACCTGCCTGGACGACATAGTAAGACTCCGTCTCTACAAAAAATGTAAAAATTAGCCAGGAGTGGTGGTGTGTGCCCGTGATCCTGGCTACTCAGGGAGCTGAGGTGGGAGGATTGCTTGAGCCCAAGAGGTCAAGGCTGCAGTGAGTTATGATCACACCACTGCACTCCAGCCTGGGCAACAGTGTAAAACCCTGTCTCAAATAAAAAAATAGCCTATTTTTTACTTTGGTTTAAAATAACCTGGAAGTTACTTTAAAGTGGAAGCAAGGAGAGTGAGACTGTAGATCACTGTGATTATCCATGGACTGATGACTGAAATCTGCTGACATGTGGTGGTTCATGCTACACTACTATTTTTTTTTTTTTTTTTTTTTTGAGTCAGGTCTCACTTTGCCACCCTGGCCAGAGTGCAGTGGCGCAATCTCGGCTCACTGCAGCCTTGACTTGCAGGTTCAAGTGATCTTCCCGTTTCAGCCTTCCAAGTAGCTACAGGCATGCTCCACCACTCCCTGCTACATTTTGTATTTTTTGTAAAGACAGGGTTTTGCCATATTACCCAGGCTGGTCTCCAACTCCTGGGCTCATGGGATCCGCCTGCCTCAGCCTCCCAAAGTGCTAGGATTATAGGCATGAACCACCACACCCAGCACTACTATCCTGCTTTTTTACAATTTAGAATTTTCCATAACAAAATATTTTTCTAATTCTCCAGTAGACATTAAATTTTTAGAAGTTTTTATCTTTTCTAAGCGTACTGATATATGTCTTGCTGAATTATGGTTAAAATTTTTTTTTGAAGTTTTCATTTACAAGAAAAAATAGGATCACAACAGGTAGTAATAGGGCCAATAGGTCAGAGAGATACTTAGACTAGAGTTTGTCAAAGAGACTCCAGGATAATTTGATCAGGAAAAATCCTTATTTAAGTAAAAATTAGGCTGGATGTGGTGGCTCACACCTGTAATGCCAGCACTTTGGGAAGCCAAGGGAGGCAGATCACTTGAGGTCATGAGTTCAAGACCAGCTTGGCTAACATGGGGAAACCCCCTCTCTACTAAAAATACAAAAAAATTAGCTGGGCACAGTGGTGCGCACCTCCAATTCCAGCTACTTAGGAGGCTGAGGCAGGAGGATCTCTTAAGACAGGGGCGGAGGTTGCAGTGAGCCGAGATCACACCACTGCACTCCAGCCTAGGCAACAGAGCGAGCCTCTGTCTGTCTCAAGTAAGCATACATTAAAGTGAAACACTGATGCCTACATTTCTGCCTTCATTGGAGACTTGGGAAGAATGTCAGGAGGTAACACACCAATACAGAGTTGAGACAGGATTTCTGAGGCTTCTGGTGGCTGCTGGCAGAAGGCCAGGCGTGGGTTTTTGAAGAATCCTCCCAGAGCTGCTGCTTGTTCAAGTCCTGACCCGGTCCCCTTCTTATTTGAAAAACTCAGTTGCAGGAAGGGTGACCACAGGTGTAATGGCCCACGTTCTTGGCTTTGCTATTGTAGGTATTGAGTTCTGTGCAATGGAAGCTCTTACTTGGGGCTCTCTGATGAGGCTTCTCATGTTTCTTCTCATCTGGTAGCTGACCACCAGAAGGATGAGACCACAAGTTGTGTGGCTGCCTATCTGGGTCAATAGATTTTCCAGTACTTATCTCCAAATGGAAAAACAAGCCGTTAAGAGAGTGCTTTGGACAGAGGCTCCAGCTCTCTGGCCACAACATTCTTGCCCAGAATGTGTCCTTGCTTAAATCCCCGAAACTTTCAGGCAGTCAAAACAGCCCACTTCACTCACTGCCTGTTCCGCTGACCTGGGCATTACTGACATCTTGTCTTGCTATGGCTTGTAAGCATCAGGAACCTGGAAGTTGTCAGCACCTACCTGGTGCTGAGCCCTGGTGTTCAAAGGTGGATGGGGCACAGTCACTGCCTCAGGAAGCTCCTCTCATTCTGGAAGACGGAACAGACAGTTGAGTAAACATGTGCCTTACTACAAGTGTTCCCAGTGTGATTGAAAGGATACTCCTAAGACAGAGAAGAGGAGAGAGGGTCTTTGCACCTGCGGGTCAGGGGAAGCTTCTTTGAGTTGGACACATCAGTGCTGAAGCCTGCACCTGCGTCCTGGCTTTCTCAGAGAAGAAGCTTCTGAAACTGGTGCCACTGGTTTCTCTGAGTGGTAGAATTCTGGGCAAGATTTATTTTCTCCTTGATTCGCCTCCGTATCTTCCAGTTTACTAAAAGCAGCATCTATTTCGTAATCAGGAAAGACTTATAAAAGCTTAAATATAGGCAGGGCTATCCTTGGAAATTGCCTTTTCAGCTTTTTTTTTTTTTTTTTAAACTCCTTTAGGACTTTCCTTGGTGTTTTGCAACTAAAATTTCTGTGAAGAAGATATACCGGTTAAGAGTAAAACAAGATTTTCTAGTGTTGTCAGCAATACAACAGTAAGCCACAAAGACGGAGGAAGAAAAAACAAGATCTCTTCCTAGTCTCTAGTTCCAAACCAGAGACTAGGAAGAGATCTGTCAACACAGGGTACGGCATCAAACATCTGTAAGGAATTGCAGCCTGAACGTAGGAATAAGTCAGGGGTGACGTCCAAAGATAAGTCTGACTTTTTAGAATCAATAAACAAAAGCTTTGTTTTCAGGTCCAGGAGCATGGGCTGAGGGAGAGTAGAATGAGCTGAAACCCTGCCTGGATCACGGAAGGGAGGGGATTTTGGATTTGATGGATAAAGTCAAAGTGTCCAAACACATCTCTTCTCATTTCCAGATTCATGCTGATAATTGACCTTGAAGTTCGGGCCTGCTTGTGTTTTTTTTGTTAATGGTAATGAAAGTGCTAACAAATCTAAGCACATTAAACCACTCAAGGTGACTTGGGTTGAGCTCATTTAGCCCCGTTGAATAATCGCCATCCTGCCAAAGTTCAGCCAGGCAACCAGGCATGGCCAGACATGCCAAAGAGAGCTTTGAGCAAGCAACCAAAACAGGAAGGAGTTTCATTCCTCACCCCAAAGGCCGAAAAGTGGAGCTTCTTGTTTTACTCTGGTCTGTTGCATGCACTCTACCTAATTCAGCCGTGTTCTTACACCTGGGCTAGGGTGCTAGGAGGCTTAGACTTTATTAATTCAAAATGACATGGAAGAGCTCTTTTGAGCAGCTTTTCAGAAATGCTTTTTGGAGTTTTGGATTGCTAGCTGTGCCTTTAAAGGAAGGAGGAGGTGTCTGTCCCCAGGACTGTAGAACTGGCATGTTGGCCCTGAATTGCCTTTGCATGTGCTGTGGAGTGAAGGAGATGAAAACTGTGTGTTGTTTAAACCACTGGTTGTCAGGGTTTATCCTTGATCCCATCTATCACAGGAGTGGGCAAGAAGCATGGCTGTGATGTGGGGGGTCTGAAAACAAACATCTGAGGTAATGATAATGATCGGGTGCTCCACCCAAGTGGCCATTATTTGTCCAAAAAACACTGTAAAGTATTCTGACTTCACATCCAAGAGAAACTCTTTGGCTGCTCTTCAGTAAGCTGGCCGTGGAAGGGCCAAGCTCCTCTCCCGGACGCTGGCCTCTGGCTTCCAGTGAACTCCATTCACCCCCACAGCCCCACCGTGGTTTGTGCATGCTGCCGTTCTCTGCCTTTCCATCTACTTATGCTGTGGTCCTTCCTTCAACCTCTTTTTCTCCTGTGGATTACCAAGATCCTTTCCTGTAGGAGGACTGAAAGTGGGTAATTTGTAAACCGTAAGAATTCCATTTTTACAATTCTAGCGAGCGGGAATTCCAAGATCAAGGTGCAGGCAGATCTGGTGTCTGGTGAGGGCCCACTCTCTTTGTCACATATGGTGTACATGGGAGAAGGACAGAAAGATCAAACCACTGCTCACGACTCTTCTATAAGGTCACTAATCCAATTCATGAGGACCTCTTCCTTATAACTTAATCACCTCCTTAAGGCCACACTTCTTAATGTTAGCACATTGGTGAATAAGTTTCAGCATCAGACCAAGGTAGAGGCTATGGCTACAGCTACTGGCTCCATCAGCTCCAGGTCACTTGCTCCCTCTTTCAGCCCAGAGAGAAGGTTCCTGACAAGCCTGGGCTAGTCCACCAAGATTCTCTGCCCACGGGAGCCCTGTGATCCCAAGAAGGGCCCGCCTCCTACCTTGACCTATGAATGGGGCTGAACAGGGGTACCACAGGAGTTTCCTTTTAAATGGGTCAGATTTTACATGGAAGGAGGATCCTGGGTCTTGAAGACTGTCTACAGCTCAGTCCTCCATGTGGTCCCCTTGCCTCATCATCTGACTTTTGTCACAGCCCCAGTAATCCCACTGGTGTGGTGATACCAGGAGCTCTGAGAGCAGAGCGGAGCTCCTGAGCAGTGCTGCAGGGCTCTGGGTATTGAAAGAACCGTGTGTGGCACTTGGAGAGACTACAATGTTACCATGGTCGATTCATTGAAGCAGGTTTGCCTAATTTGTGTCCAGTGTCTGCGAAGATGCTTGCAATCCCTAATGAAATGTCATTCTTCAAAGGTTTGTCTTTGGTATTTGGCAGTGGTACTTGGAGATACTGAATTTACATTATAGCCTTTGGGGTGGTGGGCCCATTCATCTGAGTGATCAGTCTAACAGCTAGAGAATACAAATTCTCAATTACATACATGTTGTCACTTTCCACCAAGCCCAGCCAGGCCTGAAGATGGAACTGTGTCTCGTCAACCTCCCCTGACCACCAAGCATTTCCGTGGAGCTGGGTGTACCTAGCATCTCTCTGCCATCCCCCTATAGTTCTTAACACCTGCTCCCCTCCAGGCATAAATTCCTCCACAATCGCACCCTGTCCAAACATGCAGTTCCCACAAAGGTGTGTTCTTCCCTTGTCCGACAAAATTCATTAGCTTGAATGTGATGATTTTTGCTTGTTAGCTGTTTGTCCATCTGGCCTTTACATCTCTGAACTTGGATGTGTCTGTACGTTCTAATAGCACCTGGCTTACAGTGTCTGCAGAGCACTGTTTGCCAGAAGGTTCTTAATAAGTACCTTGAAATCCAGGACGTTGACTTCCCTCTTGATAACAGAGCTTATAATTCTTCAACTTCAAATTTATTACAGTAACTACAACTATATCATAAATTATACTAAGTTGGAACTTAAATGTAGAGTTACTCCTTTTCAGCCACATTATATTCATAACTTTCTGGATTTTTATGATCTTAAAAACATAAGTTGGATTTCAAAATGGATTTTTTTTTAAATTACGGACTAAATGGTCCTTAAGATCCTGATTTTAAAAATCATGCAGAAGAAATACTTTGATTATGCTTTTGTCGGGCTATAAACTTCCTTTGAAAGCAGGTTCCAGCAATCTCATTATGTAATTCATTGTTGGTTTTTGTTTTAAAGATTATTAATTATAGAAAGAAAGACTGTAGAAACTTAGCACTGTCTTGAAGGATTTTTAAAATGGAAGGAAAAAAGCAATAGAGTAAACAGAAGCACAGCTTTCACCAAGTGTGTTTGTCCTATCTCTTTACAGTACTATGCAGGATGACATTTTTATTCTCCATGAACAAGAATATGACAGTTTGCTTGAATCTGTCTTCAAAACTGAATTCTTAAGCCTCTTAGCAAAGCGTTACGAGGAAAAAACCCAGAAGCAACTACCTCTGAAATTCAGCAATACGTAAGTCCAGATCTGGGGCCGAGACTTCTGCGTATAACTAAAAAGGGGCCTTGATCACATCTCTGGCATTCAGGATGGGGCTGGGGGAGGCCTATGAGGAAGAGAGTAGGGTCTGGCTGGCCCCAGTGGAATCTTAGAACCTGCAGAAGACAGACTGGATGGTAGTCACAGACTTTGAAAAGGTTACTTTTGCATTTCTGTGAAATAATGACTTCATAGACTAGTATATTTTATCATTTAGACAAAAAACATCTACATGAGGCAGAGATAGGCAGATTTTTATGCATCACCAAAAAAGGGGGGAGGCGGTTTATTTAGTAGAGCAGCAGGAGTAGAATCAGCCTGGAAGCAGATGAAAGTGACAGATGTGGGGGCTTGAATTCCCCAAAGCAATGCATAATAAAACCTATTGGTAGGGCCTCTAGGGGCTTGAGGACTGTGGGTGGCCAACATATTGTGTAGTGGCTTACCTTCCTTTCTTTTTCTTTTCTTCTTCTTCCTCTTCTTCTTTTTTTTTTTAAGATTGTTCTGTTGCCCAGGCTGGAGTGCAGTGGCGCGATCTCAGCTCACTGCCACTTCTGCCTCTCAGGTTCAAGTAATTCTCCTGCCTTAGCCTCCCGAGTAGCTGGGATTACAGGCACCTGCCACCATGCCCAGCTAATTTTTTTGTATTTTTAGTAGAGACGGGGTTTCACCATGTTGGCCAGGCTGGTCTTGAACTCCCAACCTCAAGTAATCCACCCGCCTCAGCCTCCCAAAGTCCTGGGATCACAGGTGTCAGCCACCACACCCGGCCTCATTTTCATTTCTTTTGGCAGCGTGGTCTAATGGACAAGGTACTGGCATGCTGTTGACTTTCTAACCTCCTATTTGCTGAGTAAGAGTTATTTACCTAGTCTGGGCAATAATAATAAGACCCCATCTCTACAAAAATTTTTTAAGAATTAACTGGGTACAGTGGCGCACACCTGTAGTCCCAGCCGCTTGGAAGTCTCAGATGGAAGGATACTTGAACCCAGGAGGCAGAGGTTGCAGTGAGCCGAGATCACGCCACTGCACTCCATCCTGTGCAACAGAGCAAGACCCTGTCTGAAAACAGAAACAAAGTTATTTAACTTTGCTTTTTAAATTTCCTCATCTATAAAATGCGAATGTCCTCCATCTCTTCCCAGCTACAAGAATGAGGCCAAGACAAAGCCTTAATATGATGATGAGGGAAACTTTTAATAGGCAACAACTTAAAATTAGGCTTTTTCCTTCTTATGACATGAGAAAATATGAGTTTAAAAAAGCAAAATAAAGATCACATGATGCAGGCATTTAGGCAATACGGAAGCTTGAGAACTGGCTGGAGAGTTTGGGAATTATGGGTAAATCCTGCCTTCTGTTTGGATTTTGGTTGCTAGTATGTGATGGGAGAAGAATAGCACTGGACTAAATGAAGCCAGGTTCTGTGCTAAGGAGTCTTCAAGCTGGCTTGTGCCTGGCATCTCTCAGTCCTTCCAGCTGTCGCTGCGTGACACAAGCACAGAACCAGGGCCAACAGCTGGAAGCACAATGACAGCACTGCAGTGTGACCTAGAAATTGTCCTTCTCTGTTGCCTCAGCAGACGCCCTGGAGACCACCTGACAGAGTGGCATTGGCACATTAGTGAGGTGCCTCCCTCACCACCTGGTGTCTCATGGTACGGGGCCCCAGATCCTCCTGCTTCGGGCTCAGTGTCACGCAGTGACAGTGCCACCCCATAGATGCGGTGCACATCCTCAGGGTCCTGAACCTGGTGGAGATTGTCTGGTCTTGCCTCATGTTTACGCTTTTCCAGCAGAACTCGCTGGTGAGATCTCTGAGCACCATTCTCACTGCTTCATTCAACCTGTTAACTCCAATGTGCTTTTTGCAGGCTTGAACTGAAGTTGAAAAAGGAGAACTGGGGTCCCTGGAGTGCGGCGGGCTCCCGGCAAGTGCAGTTCCACCAAGGCTTTGGGGACCTGGCTGTTCTCAAACCCAGTAACAAAGTGCTGCAGGTCAGCATTGGACCTGGACTGCCCAAGAACTCCCGTAAGTGCCCCATGGGCGCCGTGGGCAGAACGGCCACCACTCTCCGAGCGTCTTGAGCAAATGCTGAAAACACGTGCACAGATGTGGGGGCTGAGAATCAGTACACCTTCTGCTTCCTAGGGCTCAGGCTTTCTTCAGAATGGAACATTTCAAACTAAAGCAACAGCAAGGAAAATGAGCAGGTTAAAACTTTCTGAGGTATATAGTACTTACATATCAGTACACCTGGCATGACAATATTGTACTTAAATCAAAGTTTATTAGCTTCAAGTTTCCCTGCCCTTTCCAGTCAGATCTTGTCCACAATACAAACATCATCCTCTATGCCGGCTTTAAAGAAATTGGGCCAGGCACAGTAGCTCACACCTGGACTCATGGCACTTTGGGAGGCCAAGTCCGGACGATTGCTTGAGCCCAAGAGTTCTAGACCAGCCTGAGTAACATGGCAAAACCCTGTCTCCACAGAGAAAAAGAAATATACAAAAATTAGCCAGGCATGGTGGTGCACGCTTGTAGTCCCAGACGCTCAGGAGGCTGAGGTGGGAGGATGGCTGAGCCTGGGAGGTCAAGGCTGCTGTAAATCACGATCATGCCACTGCATTCCAGCCTGGGCGACAGAGCAAGACCCTGTCTCATTTTAAAAAAAGAAGAAAAAGAAAACCACACACACTCTCTCTCTCTCTCTCTCTCTCACTCTCTCTCTCTCACTCTCTCTCTCTCTGACAGAGCGAGACCCTGTCTCATTTAAAAAAGAAGAAGAAAATAAAACACCACACACACTCATACGTACATGCCCTACCTCAAACCCCACTCTAACTCCTTCCCTGGCCTTTGATTCTTTCTGTATTTATAATTGATATTTATAAACTTATGTTTATAATACCTAGCATAGAATAATCATATACTGCGTTTGCATACACTGTGATATTGTTCTAAAATTTAGCCTGTGTGTGATCACACACATGAAGATGCCGTATATAAAATAACTGTTTCTAGGCTGGGCGCAGTGGCTCACACCTATAATTGCAGCACTTTGGGAGGCCAAGGTAGGTGGACCACCTGAGGTCAGGAGTTCAAGACCAGCCTGACGAACATGGTGAAACCCCATCTCTACTACATACAAAAAGCTAGCCAGGCATGGTGGCATATGCCTGTAGTCCCAGCTACTTGAGAGGCTGAGTCAGGAAAATTGCTTGAACCCAGGAGGTGGAGGTTGCAGTGAGCCGAGATCATGCCATTGCGCTCCAGCCTGGACAACAGGAGCGAAATTGTCTCAATAATTACTTAGTTAATTAATTAA